TGTCGCTCTCTGAGATTGACCTAACGTTGTGTCGTATGCAGGGTGAAGGTCATCTCAGGCAGTGTGTCACATCAGAACGCCGGGAATCAGATTGGCCGCGCATCGACCATCTTCACGTTCATATTTTTGGCCATCACCGCCGTGTCGCAAATCATTTGTCTAAACCGTGGACTGAAGGTGTACGACTCTACCCTTGTCGTGCCGGTGTTCTACGGTGTGTACACCGCTGCGGGTTTCCTCAACTCCTTGGTACGCCTCGCGTATTTTCTCGTTATTACTAGCTCTTCTGACGCTTCTCCAGATCTTCAACGACGAGGTCGACGCGTATCAGCCATGGACACTGTTCCTCATCTTTGTGTCCATGATAATCCTCATCTCCGGTGTCGTCCTCTTGACCTACAAGAAGCCCGAGAAGAAACCCACAACCGCTGGCCCTCCTGGCGCCGTCGCCATGTCATCGCGGACACCGCGACGGGGCAACGGCCGGAAAAGCGACGACGACGACGATAGCGAGCAGGACGCGCTCCGGGCTGGCGACGAGCCCGAGCCCGAGGAAGTGTGGCAGATTGGCGACATGAGCGACGACGAGGATGGCGCACGGCCGCACAGTCCGCGCCCGACGCGCCATCGCAGCGCCAGTGCGCGGTCGAGGGGCGAGGGTGAGGAGGCGCAGATCCTTGGCGAGGAGGACGAGGAAGGCGGGCGTGACTCGACGTCGTCGGATGCGACACTGGCGAGGACGGACAACCCACCGCCGTATGCGGATGACGAGTTTGGCGGGTGGGAGCAGGGGAAGCTGCGCGAGTGACCATGACTTGTGCTTGACGCTCCCTGTGGACTGTGGACTGTGGATTCATGCTGTACTTATATATGCATTACAGTACATTACCTGCTTAGACTAAACACAAACTCGCATTTGGACGTGGACTCAAATGTCGTTCGCCACAGGTGGGATTTAATTCTCAGATAAAGTTCGACTGCTCTCCGAGTTGATCGGAATCGCGTTCAGATCTTGAGTCCCGATGCAGGTGCTTTCCTGATTGAGATGTCCTCGTCATCCAGTGGTTTGCCTACTTAGTCTCTACCTCGAGACCATCAAAGGACAACATTGAACCTCCGTCAACGCTTTTTTGCTTTCGTACTACTTACACCCCGATATCTACTCTACAAGAGGCGTGAACGTGGGAACGCGAGACAAACGCTAAGACAAACATTGGAGACAAGAAGACGAGACAAGAAGCAAGAGACAAACGCTAGAGACATTCTCATTGGCTGAGAGACGGACGCCCGAGCGATGCCCGAGCCTCTCAAGCGCTCCGAGGAGGAGGAGGAGTGTACTTCATCCCTCCTCCTCCTCATTATCCCTTAGACTCGCGCGCGACCCTCATGTTCATTTCTCACTCTGACATCGGAGGGCGCGGATCAGCAGGGCAGCGGTAAGATGCAGACAATGAGTGACAGGAGTGCACCGAGCGGAGCGATGGAGAAGACCACCGTCACGGTGAGTGCAGACACATGCGAGCGAGCGGGCTAACTGCAGGCGACGCGGCGACGTGCAGCCCGACGCATGACGATCGCAAGCATGCAGGCATGGCTGACGAATGGGCGGCGGGCGGACGAGCAAGCTAGCGAGAGGCACACGCCGACCGTGAGGCGGCTGAGCAAATGCCCAGCACGTAAACACGACCGACGAACGGATGGCGGGTGCATGGCCGAAGGAGTCGTAGAGACAGAATGGGCAGGCGCAGTCGCCGTGGCGACATGAAGCGCGACGCGCACGCCGACCGCGAGTGCGCCAGGCGGATGCCCGGCACACAGACATGGCCGACGCACGCGCGCAGAGCAGGTGGGCGAGCCGGCGGACAGGTGAGCAGGTGTGGAGGGGCAATCGGACGGGTAAGCAAGCGAGTAGATGGAGAGCAGGAGGGCGAGCGAGTGAGCGAGTAGGTGACAGCGTATACGTCTACCGCGAGCGCACTGAGCGAACATTCACTGCACGCAGACACGGCCTACGATCGCGCACGTAGGCAGGCCCCGAGCGGGTACACAACCGTGCCACGACACGCACAGCGAGGGCGAGGGCGAATGTTCAGCTTCAGCGAGCATGCAGGGCAAAGCCCCGCGTGAAGCGCAGCCGACAAGCGGACCACGGCGCGGGCTCAGTTATGAACAGGGAGGGTCAGCAGACAGCGGGCGCGGACGGGAACGAGTAGGCAGGGAAGGGCGAATGGCTGGCAGAGATGGGTGAGGATGAGGGGATGAGAGGCGCGAGGACGAGTAGTAAGGACGAGCGAATGTCAGGTACGGCGTGCGGCAACGCCGAGGATGCAAGCATAACACCCACGAGTCGGAGTCGGAGAGTGGCCACTCGGGAGCCATGGGCATAGGTGCGCTGCACATCTGAATATCTTCCAAATTCCGCTGTTGATCAATGGCATCTCTCCCTTACATACTGCTGTGCGGAGAGACAGGGGTCGAAGGCAGATACATTCAAGTAGTACCACCCGAAAGTAACGTGAGCCAGCAAACAGGTGAGGATGAGACATCCAGCTTCATCGCAGTTGGTAAGTAAGCATTCCTCCAATATACCGCTGTAGATGCATATTTCGCGGCCCGGCACAGGGCCACGAAGCCGACTCCGAAGGGAGGCGGCTGAGTGGCCTTTCAACTATCAGTCTCTTACAGAAGTCGCCTACGCTTGCAAGTTACATAGAATAGAACATTCACGATTTTTGAGTAGTCGCCCCGCCATGCGCTCAAAGCCGTAGATCATGTATCTGACTGAGAGGTATGCAATCGAAAGCGCATACCCGTAGCGGAGCACGGGCATCGGCTAGTCGCACAACAAACACAACGTAACATCGCTTACATGCACAGATGGCAAACGCTCCGTCCCCGCGCAGGTTCTGGACTCGTGGTTGGAGTCGGTGCATGGAGAGCAGCGCATCAGCTCGAGCTGGTGATTACACGTAAAGCTGTTGGTGTCCTCGTCAATGAATCGAGAAAGGCTTGCCACGACGATAAACTCAAGCTCGCCTGGGCGAAGATTGACACGGCATCTCTCTCTCGACAGACTTCGCGCTATCGAAATTCACCGCGACGTATCAGGCAATGTTGTCATGTATGTGGCTTTTGCTGATGACGATTTTCACTACAACACGACCGGATGTCATTTGGCATGAAACATGATTGGGTCTGCCTTTCTCGGAGGTGCCTCGCCGGCACAAGCGGCGAGCCTGGCTATGCAAGACTGCAAGTGTAAGGTAAGCATAAAGCGATTCAACTGGTTCTATCTAACTGATCTAACTGCAGGGTTTTGAGTCGACACACAACCAGGACGAGTCCTTCGGATTTTGTCAACCCACTGGCAGCTGCTATCACGAGCAGCGCGAACATGAGTGACTTGCCCGCACCTGTGCTAAACCTGTGCCTGCGCCGATGATCATAGAATCAATCAACTTGAGTGAGCGAGATTGCTGGACGAGGACTCCTTGTAAGTAGGTGCAATCTTACGCCTGGACTCAGACTTGGTGAGGGATGGCAATGCGTGGTTTTCTTCCGCCGTCGTGGAGTGTAAATTAGCAAGCTGAGGGGACCCAGCAGGCGAGGATGGAATCATGTATATAGAGGCGGACGGTCGCTACGGGCGAATTCGAGTCGAATCGTATTGCTCGCCATACATCGCTCCGTTACAGTCCTATACAAGTCCTGTAAGACGGCAATAACAGTATGATGTAATGACAATAACAGTGCTAACTAATGAACTCTGTATTGAGATAAGAAACGAATGTAGTATCGCGCCACTGGCACCCCCAGAACCCTCCGAGTCGGCTCTGCGTCACAGCTAATTTCAGAACGATAGTCACTTGTGAACGCGCGCGACACATGATGACTAAGCGCTCCGCGCTTCGGGAAATCTGGGGAGGGCGGCGCTGGCTCCATCGCACCGCTCTTCTGCAGTATTCGTCCTCTCAGGTCAGATTTCCCGGACTGCTGCTGTCTGAATACACTTTGGATACCGCGGTCACGTTACAGGGACCGTGTACCGTAGTGCTTCCCGTGTACCGTCCGATCGTCTCAGAATCAATTCCAATTTCCACTAGTATTTCAAGTTCTCCTATGGCTCGCTACAATGGAAACCGGCGATCTGTCCCAACACCCACAAAAGAGCTCATTGTCTATATGCTAGCCTTCCTACATCCAAAAAAAGTCGCGTCGGGTGGCGTGGTATAGATCGTTGCCTGGCAGCCGTGCAGTGTGCGTGCAGTCGAGCAGAAGACGCAGGGTGGGTGTGGCGCGGACGAGAGACGCGATGGAGCCAGCGCCGCCCTCCCCAGATTTCCCGAAGCGCGGAGCGCTTAGTCATCATGTGTCGCGCGCGTTCACAAGTGACTATCGTTCTGAAATTAGCTGCAAACCCTCACACGTTTGCCGTCGTACTGCGTCTCACTCAGGCACTTCCAACTCTTCCTGTTTGTCGGCATCTTCTGGGCTGTTGTTCGTTCAGTTGCGAAAGGTAACAATTGTGTTATGTCTTCACTAAGCGAACAGTTGCAGAACCTGGTATCTCGATGCAGGCACTAGGCAGGAGCATCCAGCGAACGATACCGTGAAGGATGCGATCGCACTTCTCTCGAAAGTCGATCTCAATGACCTACACGCGCGGTCCACTGCATGGCATGCTATCGAGGCTGATGTCAACACGTTGGCCCGGACGGGTGTATGGGCGCCCAGTCAAGAAGATGAAGAATTGCTCGAGCAATTGAGAACTAGCCTGAGTGGGACATGTAAGTCATCACTTTTCTGGAGTAACAGAGTCGTCTGATTGCTCATCTCATGGCACATATCTAAGGGCCACCACAGAACCTTGCATCATCGCCGAATGCTCAGCAAAGTGCGCAACGATACTCTGTTGTAACGCCTCCGCCGATATCGGCACCGTTATTCCCGCCGACCGCCGGGGTAACGACGATACTGCCCACCGGCCTAGTGGAGGTTCTAAATTATAGCTATTTCCTACACCTCCTGGTCACCGATCAGGATCGCGTTCTTCCACCCGGCAAGTCGCTTCTCTCCGTGATGTCCAAGCCAGGAGCAATGGGCCATGGCGGAGCGGACGGAGAGCTACCTCACCTCAAAGACCGCATCCAAGACGTAGTTCACAAGGCGTTCTGGGACGAGGTACGCTACGAGGTGTGGGCATAAGCCCCAGATCTAACATCCGGGTTTGTGTTAGGTGTCTGAGACACTATCCAATCCCTCCGCCGCCGTGCAGATCCCGCGGCTCAGGCGATTGTACGAAGATATACACGAAGCCATCAAGCCCCTTATGCCCGCGAACCATCCGATACGCCTCATCCTGACATGCCCGCTCTCGCCTACCTCTTTCCCCCTCCGGTCTGCTCTCACACACTTCCGGGAACTGCTCGTTTGCCTGCGCTCCCGCTGTGCGCCCATCAGAGACGCACAGATAGACGCGCTCATACGGAACGTCGACGACCTACCGTCTCTGGCCTCGATACCAGACATGGCAAGGTTGGTCGTAGATACTGTGCGATCAATCCTGGAGCTCGCGGAGCTCATGAAGGAAGACCTCTCGCAGTTTGTCGTGGGCTCGATGAGCGAGAAACAACTGCGCGCGGTGCTGATGGTTCAGGCGGCCAAGCAGGAGAGGGAGGTGGTCTTCTCGCTTTGGCGTCCGGAACGGATACAGGAGCGCTGGAGACATTGGCTGGAGGAGCGGCAAACACGCGACAACGTCCCAGCGGATGGACTTCTGGAGCGAGTATGGTACACCGCCTGGGGCAAGCTCTGGCGCTTGCCGTCCCTGTGTCCTGTCCGCTTCCGACAAGACCCATGCCAGGCGATGCGGATGACGAAAGCCGGACGGACATACCGAATCCGACGAACACCCTCCCACCCCGCTCTTCTTCGTCTACCCGACCCTACTGTACATACAGAATTATCTGCAGGCGCTGGTCATCGCCGCCACCCTCCGCTCACTCGTACGGCTTCCAACGCAGCAGCTGCACCGACCGGCCAGCACAGATGAAAGCGATCAGGAGAGCTTCATGGCGCGCCTCTGGACTCTACTCCGAACCGAGATCGACGAGCAGCCAGGCTCGGGCGAAACCAAGCTCGTGAACCTTGCGGACGAAGTCATCCGCGTCCGCCGCAGGTTCACAGGGAGCGGAGACGCCCTGGACCCCGACGAAGAAGCGAGGTTGCGCGCCGCAGTAGACCGCACGCTGCAGCCGCATGATCCGGTCTTCGCGCTGTTGCAGAAACGGTTGCTCGCGGCGGTCGCTGAGCGAGTAGCGCACCCGGTAGAAACCTTGTCCCCCATTCAAGTACGATGCAGTTACCGGAGCGACTGCAGACGGGCAGGGGGCAGCCGGGGAAGCGTCCGAGACTCGGATTGGCGTTGGATTACGATGCAGCTGAAGACGCAGGCGCGGCGGCTCGTTCGGAGCAGCTTGTAGTGAAGGGGTTCGAAGATGAGGTGCTGGTGAAGGCGGTAAGCGAGGGTCTGTCGAAGCTGAGATCGTGCGTAGAGTGGACGGAGCGAGTGTGGTCAGACTTGATCAAGACAGGTGCTATCGCGTCTTCTGCGTAGGTGCAGAGCATCTTCTTCAGACTTGTGTTTGTGTTATTATTAGATACGGCGCAAGGTGACTTAATGTAGTATGAAGCTTTGAAGCCTAGCCTAGCGCCGTGGTAGAGGAGGCGTCAGTTCGCTTGGTATGATCACGCAGGAGGAGATTAAGCGCGCATCGTTCTCCTCTCGCGCGCTCACTTCTTCGGTCGTCTTGAAAGCCCAGCTACAGCTGCCAGCTTCCTCCTCCTCTCTCGCTTTGCCCACCCTCCACTCCCTTTTCACGCAGCACGCGCCGCAACAACAAACACAGATTGGTTCTTTTGGCTCGACGCGTCTACCCTGCGGCCCAGTAGGGGCAACGGAATCGCAGGGCTGCGGTTTACCCACCCGCCCTCGCAGCTCAAGCGCTCACCCGTTACCCCCAGGTCCGCGCACACGTTTCGAGTCGGGCAGCCCTACGGGCTGCGCCCCACACTCGCTACTAATCCCTCTCTTACTTACAACTTGAAGTAGTCTCTCCAAACATACTCAGTGTACTGATGAATTCGTCATGCTAACAAGGCCGAAAATCGTATCCCAGTACATAGATACTACTTAAACTCATCACGAGTACTCGGGCGGCGCACCCAAGTCCGAAGGTTCGGCTGCCTCGATGTGCACGTTCTGCATAACGATTCTGCGCAGATCCTCGATCATCGAGCGCAGCCCCAGCAAATCCCCACAGTCACGCCATTCGCCGTCGTAGGGACCGTCGTACTCCCAGATGGAGGCTCTGCAACTGGCATGGCGGAAGACGAGCCGGTTGACGGCAGGACAGGTATTTCTTCCCTTGGCAATTCGAGTTCCCGACGCTGCTTTTCCGTGAGTATGACACCTGGTGCTTGGGCTGTGAAAGCGGGCGCAGCATCGAAGGGCGTGGGTTCTGTCCTTGTACCAGTTGTGTCGAGGAGGTCGGCGTTCCTCCGGTATCGACGACGTCGCAGTAGCCATAATCCGAGTCCTGCGAGCGCAATTAAACCGACGACACCACCGACGACGCCGCCCGCTATGGCACCAACATCGAGCGAGCCACTGCCGGAAGCACTAGTGCTTGTGATGGAGTAACTGGGGGGCGATACGGTCACGGTACCGCTGCGCAT